GAATTCTGGAACTTGACGTCCACAAGTCTTAAAGTTGCCAAGCTTGGACACCACTGTTCTACATGTATTTCATATAAGTGCAAACTTTGTAGTCAGTAGCACACAGCTGTTAGTTATTTCTATGAAGAGTGATGTTTCTTCTGTTTTATTACACATTTAGGGACTGTGAAAATATGGGATTTTGGAAGTGGGCAGATACTTAAAATTTTGCCCTTAGGCAGGGAAATCACGGTCAATGAACATTGGCTGATGCAGATGGTCTACTTGAAAGCCAGTGAGAGTAAGCATGTGATCCTGGTCTTGGAATACAGCGGGATGATCAAAATTGTTCAGGTTTGAGTTTTGATCGTTACATCTTCTATTTCATTTGCTTCACTTTGTTCTCAATTTCAAAAATCAAGGAACCCAGTCTCTCTTAACTATGGATTTCCACATTTGTTGGGACCTCAATTCCCTATGACCATGTTTGCTATTATGTAAGATGTAATCCCAACCTAGAAAGAAAGGCCCAAATTAGGGCTCAGCTCTCAGGAGTGTGAAATACTTCCTCTCAAGTATTCACATCCTGATATTCCAAATACATTTGTGCAGAATTACAGTTTTAATATATCAAAGATTAAGTCCCCTTTCAAGCAATTAGAGTATAATTAAATTTCCACAATTCCAACATATAAGTGGTTTACATATTTATTCTATTTATCTTTATTGATTATATCCTGTTTATGACTTCTGGTTCTAATCCTCTTAATCCCATCAAGACTTTTCTGATCTCTTGTACAGGGAATCCTTGGTTAATGACTCAGCACTGGTAGCACTGAACAAGAAGTTAAAATAGTACTGAACAAGAAAACTTATTGTTCATGGTCATGTGATCATGATTTAGGCATTTGGCAGTTTGTTGACATTTAACGAAAATTGTGGCATCCTGCAGTCACATGTTCACCATTTGCGACCTTCTCTGTTGACTTCCAACAAGCAGAGTCAATAGGGAAGCCAGCAAGAGGTTACAAATGACAACCACATGTTGTCATGCTTAATGACCAAGCGGGATTTGTTTAGTAACCACAACGAGAAATGCAATCCTAAATCCACGCAACCATATGGCATTGCACTTTACAATTCACCATGTAGCAATGAGTTCCTGGTCCCAAGTACCACAATTAACCGAAGACTTCCTGTACTTATTTAAATGTTTGCTTAAAACTATGTACATTTGCCAACCATCCCCATCAATTTATAAATAATTATATACAGTACATTCTAAGCTAATAAGGCATTAAATACTAGCACAAAACTTCTAAAATGCCCTCTTAAGTGACCTGAGTTTAAAAAAAATAATCTGTAACCTTCTGTTGGCTGCCACTTCATGCTTGCCTTTTGCTATCACTCAGTGCCAGAGCACCATGAACTCTAGGGGACTGGATGGGAAGCGGGAGGATTCCAGGAAAACGAAAAGTTCACTATATCTCCTCAACCAGCTAAGAACAGAATACAGCAGCATACCAACCCACGCTTGGAGCGACCCTTCTGAAAACATCTTCTTTGAATTTGATTGGGCATTGGGGAGGCCAGTATGGGGAGGTACCTAAAGGACGGGAAGTTAGACTTTAGGATTTGGTCATGCAGATTTCAGCTCTGGCTTTCACTTGACCTCTAGGAAACTATACCTTTCTCAACAAATGGAATTAAGGATCATTCTTTCTTAGAGGCTCAAGCTGAGGCAGGTCTTTTTAAACTACAACAACTCAGCCTTAACTCACTGAAACCTCAGGAGAAGACAAACCTTATATATTCTTAGTGCAGATATACCCCATGTTGGAGCCTCTGAAATAATGTATCAAGAAGATGTACAACTATTTTCAATCCCTAATAATTTATTTAATAAGGGCATGCTAAATGTATTTAATCCCCATTTGGCTGCCTATTAAATGAGAATGCAAAATGTTTCCTAGGTATTGTGACTAGTATTTTTATTGGTAATTATCTTTTTAATCATCTAATTTAGGCATTTTAGAAGAGATTTCTAGAAACATGTTTTTCACCAGATGCTTACTTCAGTCATTTGTCCTGAAGACATTATGTTAGATTTGATTTAATTAATTAAGCCTCAAAAGCTGATTGAGCTCAGAACTGCCTCTTGGAATGCATCCCCTTACATTTCTAACCAATGCTGCATTCAGTTTCTGACATACTGCTTGCTGGTCATGAGTATTTGTGCTGACCAGAAACTTAAAAGCCTTCGTCAATGATACCAATGTGTTGTGTAGCCCTCAAAACCATCTCAGTTTCCAAACTGTCAAAGTATTCTACATAAACAATTACTTTGATGTGAGTCCATCTCCCCAAAGGTAACTCTGTATGTCCAGATGTGGATGTCAACCAGTAGTATAACTGTTCATAGCATTTACTGCTAATCTTGGATCAACATAAATATGTTCTAACATAAATATGTTCTAACATAAATATGTCTGGTGTATATAATATTCAAAGTAATTTACAAAGCTAGACATTTTCCCAGATTGATTGTCAATTAATCTTCTTCAATTCTTTGTTCACCTAGGCTAATCAAGGTGAAGCTTACATGTCCATAACTTGGGAACTTCCTGAAGCTGTGTCATTTGCTTTACAAGGCTATCCACTCATTGCCCTAAAACTGTCTCCCAATGTCAAAAAAACCAACGGTTTTTTTCCAGATGTTCAACTACTGCTTGATACCGATCTCACAAACACAAATGCAGAGGTGAGGAACTATTGCATTTCTAGATATGTTCTAGAACACATGAAGAAAGAGAAAAAAAAATTCTAAGAAAGTTATTTCTATCTGAGGTCCACAGCAAAAGTAAGCAGTCAAAAATGAATTTTTGCTTTCTATAAGTTCATCTGGATATTGACAAAGATTGTTGGAAGGAATTGTGAAGCTCTTGGTTGCCTTTCTCTGTATTGTTTGTCTTTGATTGTCCATCTGTTCTGGTCGGCTATTCTTTCCCAATCTATGTCCGTCAGATGCTTTGCTTTGTGTATTTTTCAGCTACCTCCTAGGATTGAAGTCAAGTGCTTTGATTTGTTAAAAGTAGAAGGTTACAGTTTGTTAGCTACAGCAAGTGCAAATGGTTCTATCATCATGTGGGATTTTGAAACTGCCACAGCCACACACATGTAAGTAAAACACTTTATCCTATAATGGATGTGGAGAGGCAGTGCTTATGTCAAGTCATCCAAGATAAATGCTGTTTTAGTGTCCAGTCTCAAAACAGTTCCCAATGTGAGAAAAGGAGAAATAGAAGTATTAAACTAGGAATAAGCTTCTGGAACCCAGAGATAAATCTGAATTGTTGATTGATTATTGTAAATCCCCCTAAATCCTGTTCATAATGATATGCTTAGTTGAGTCATGGATAAAGCTATGGTATCATCTGGTCAACATAAACAAATCAATAGTCTTAGACAAAACAGCCCAGGGTTGACTTGGGTTAAGCACTCATTCCCAAATCAACCATATTTTCCAAAAAGAATATTTACAGATTTTTTTTCATTCTACCTCTGACTTGGAAACAAACTAGACTAATCCCACAAAAGAGGACTGATGTAGGAACTCCTCTCACTTATTAATGTACTTTTAATCCTAGTCCCACATAGGAATAACTTTCTCTTCTGCTGCTACTGATCTTCATTGAGCCACCATAGATTCTTTTTCTACAATCAAAAAAAGACGGGAAGCTACAGTTTCCTAAAGAGACAAATATGGCTTTTCCCTCTTTGACTGGGGCAACCCTGGAAGCATCCAGGACTAAGTTATTTCCCTGAGATACCTCAGCCATTTTGTGTCCAAAAAAAATGCACTGTCAGAAGTGAAGATCTCAATTATTGTCTCTGTGCATAACCTGAGTCACAGACAAATAGCACTGAATGGGTGAGATGCATAGTCGAAGGAACTTTGGCTCTGTAAATGAGGGTGTGGTTCAGCAACCTGTTTGCCTCTACCCAGGCTTACTTCACTTGGGCAGAGCTACTGTGCCAAGTCTCTTGTTCTTGCTTGTTCAGAAGTGTGGGGGGGGGATGCAGGTTAGTTTTGCTGCAATATAAGAAATAGCTATGTTTTCCATTTTCAAGAGTTTCAGTGGAATTGTTCCCTTGAGCATATTTTAAAATTCTGCACTAAAGGCAGAAGAAATAACTTTGGCTTTCTGTACCCTATTTAGCTGAACTTCAAAACCATTTCTCCTGGAACTACAGTACCTGTAAATAATTTCTTTGCTGCTTCATCCTTTTCTGCTTCAAGTAATATTTATACAAAGAATGGATACCAGACAGTACCATGGCCTTATTTCTTCACCAGTTTTGCTTTTAATCTTCTTCATGTTGAAAGTCTCTTGGAAATGCTAATTGAGGTTGCTTCTCTCCTACTAAAGTGGATTAATAATTCTTACCCCTTGACTAAGAAAGCAAAGCTTCTAAAAAAGAGATAAATGGATAGGCCCCAAAGCAAATGTCTTCTTTTGAAAACCAGTCCCAAAACACAGTTGAGTGTGTGGGTAGGTGGGTGTTTTTAAGTCAAAAGAGCTCGTTCTTAGAATTACGGGATTTTAAGCAGCATAAAAAAGTTATCCCAAGCACAAAAGCAAGATTTTTGCAGAAGTAGGTATTTGTAATTTAGGCAGATTTTATTGAGTTCACTGAAGGTCTATGCATTATTGAAATGCTAAATTTGGAGATTTAGTAATATAAAGTATTAATTCACTTAGTTTTAATTGGAGATTTTCAACCTGGAGGAATTCTACGACAGCATTTTTAAGATGAGCCAATTGTTTGCACTATCATTTTGAAAATGTAACTGCATGAATTTGAAAATATGAAACCAACTTACAAATTCTTTAAAATTTATAATTATTCTGGCCATACTTTGAGGGGGGGAAATATGTACTATTTAACAATATATCTAACAAATGTGGAAAAAAACTACAGGCAAAGTATCTTCATTTTCAGGTTCAGAGCTCGACATGCTATTCACTCAGATAGACCTGAATTACGTAAAATCAACTGGTTACTATTCCTGTATCGAGATATTATGTCTGAGAGGTAAGCCAGTTCTTTATAAAAAAATGTATACATTATGTTAGTGGGCTAAGAAGCTGTACTACTTTTCTTTTTCTGTTTCTCTGTAATGTTTTTCACTAAAATCTTAGTTTTCCCTCTATTTATTTTCAGTCCTGCCACTTCACCATACTCTTCTATTTTTTTTCATTAATTTAGGCCCTGTTTTCTTGTGAATCTTCTAAGATAAATACCAAATCATCTGCGAATGCCTGTAACTTAAACTTTTCCTTTTTATTTCCATTCCTTTTATATCCATATCTTGTCTAATATTTCTATTTAGTACTTCTTGTATAAATAAATTTTATTAAATTTACAATTAAAAACATATCGACATTACATACACAAAAGGGAAAAAAACAAAAAAAGAACACTCGGTCTTACAAACTGGAAAGAAAAGAGAAGAAGAGATGTAAAAGAAAGAAAGAAACAAGATGGAAGAAAGAAAGAGACCAGATGGGATTCCGGCAGAACTATATAAAGCAATATTGGAACTAGTAGGACCACTGATGCTGGAAGTGTTTAATGAGGTACTTCTGGCAGCCAAGATGCCGGACTCGTGGAGGGGGGCGCTGATTTCGCTAATCCCGAAGGAGGATGCAGATCATAGATACATCAACAACTATAGACCGATTTCACTTTTAAATGCCGATTATAAATTGTTTACTTCTATCATAGCTAATAGAGTAAAACAAGCTTTAAATCCACATATACACGAAGATCAAAATGGATTTCTTCCGTCCCGACAAATAAAGAACAATTTAAGAACCGTTATCGATGTCCTAGAATATTATGAAGCCCACCCGGAGAAACAATCCGCACTCATGTTTTTAGATGCTGAGAAAGCATTTGATAACTTAAATTGGCACTTTTTAATTCAAAAAATTTACAATATGAGTCTTGGCACCAAATTTGAAAACATTATAACAACTATTTACAACACACAACAGGCTAATATACTAATCAATGGCGAACAAACAGATCCAATAAATATAGAAAAAGGTGTCAGACAGGGCTGCCCTCTCTCACCTCTTCTTTTCATTTTTGCCCTAGAATCACTCTTAACACGGGTTAGACAAAATTCTGAAATTAGAGGAGTGAGGGTCAAATCAGAAGAATATAAACTACAAGCGTTTGCTGACGATATGGTTTTCTTTTTGGAGGAACCCATGGAAAAAGGTTATAATCTAATAAAAGAATTAGAACAATTTGGCACAGTGGCAGGATTAAAAATTAATAGAAAAAAGACGAAATTAATGACCAAAAATTTAACAGAAAACCAGAAGGAAGAATTAGAAACAATGATGGGGATACAGGTAACAAAAAGGGTCAAATATTTAGGAATATGGTTAACACCACAAGGTAAATCACTCAAAGAGAACAATTATGTTAAACTACTTCAACAAACAAAGAAAGATTTAGAATCCTGGAATAAGTTGCAGCTTTCCTTATTGGGCAGGATTGCCTCGATTAAAATGAATATATTACCAAAATTTCTTTATTTATTCCAGACAATCCCAATGAAGTTGCCAAAAAATTTTTTTGAAGAATTAAATAAGATCACACTTAAATTTATTTGGCAGGGGAAAAAACCCAGGATCAATGTAAAGGCCTTACAAGATGCGAAAAGTAGAGGGGGTCTAGCCCTTCCAAATTGGGAATTATATTATTCGGCAGCTATCTTATTATGGATAAAAGACTGGGTGAACTTACTTAACAAAAGAATTTTAGCATTAGAAGGGCATGACCTCCAGAGAGGGTGGCATGCCTTCTTATGGGAAGTGGGGAAACCCAAGCAGTCTTACTTTCATAGACACCTCATTAGGGACTCATTATTAATTAATTGGAAAAAAATATGCAAAAAACACTATCTAAAAATTCCGATCTGGCTATCAACAATGGAGGCAATGGTACACCCCAATAATTTGGTCTATTTAGTACTTCTAATGTCAATGCAAATAGTAATGGCAACAAGGGAATTCCTTTGTTTCTTGAGCATTGCTTCTTGTAACAAGAATTAGTAGGCAGAATATGATATTGGATAGCCAAATTCAATCCCCATAAATCAATTCAGATTTTCACTATTAATGGCCACTGCTTGCTAAAGGAAAATGTTACTCTGCATGTTCTTACATGGAATGGGACAACTTACCATGGCCAACTTGCCATGGCCAACTCGCCATGGTACAATTCAACAAGTATAAAAGTTAAATTAATTTCAATGGAACCACGGTCAATATTAATAAAAGAAAGAAAGTCAATCCAGAAATACTAGTTACAAACATTTTCAATGAAAATAGGGTCACCAATAATAAAAGTAACTAAATGAAATGATGAATATAACATTTAGTTGTCCCATGGCAAGTTGAGTGTGGTGAGTTGTCCTAGACCGGTCCTTATATGTATAAGTATGGACCTCTCATACTATTTATTCTTGACGTTAGCAGTGTTAATTCAGAGTGCAAAAAAGGACTAAAAACAGTAAGCCAGAAAATTTAAAATTATTGGGTTAAAAAAAGACAAAGAAAACTAGCTCAAACTAGTTTCCATGGGTACAGATCACTGAACTTCTCCACATCTAAACCATCCTTGGTTCCACCATGTGCATACTTCCGACACAGTTCTAAAGAACACTGAGCATTCTTTATACAGTTATGTATAAATCTCTTAAACAGTGTACTGAACCATTCTCTTAAGTATACAGTAAATTGCAATATACAATCAATTTTATTTATCATGTTCACTCCTTTATCAATTATTAGCTAAAGAACAAAACCAGTCTGCACATCCTATGACAGATATGAACCTGCAGCACAAAACTCAGCTTTTGTAATTTTTTTGCATCCTTTCTGTCTACCATCAACACGTTTGCTGTTTAATTTACAGCCCAGATATATGCATCTGAGGCTGCCCTGGTATTACTCAAATTCTGAATGATTGAAATAGTGACTTCAATTCCCCTTTCACTCCAAATATTTGCTATTTATAATGACTTTTTTTTAGACAAAAGCTTTTAGAAACCTACCATTCTGCCTTTAGAACAAACCCTTGTGGTAAGTTTATTGGGTGGGGGGGAGCAAAAAACAAAAAAACCAAAGTGAGCTATGATGGTTAATACATTCTTAAGAATATTCTTAGTATTTTCAGACACTTGAGATTTCTTTATTTTCTGTGCAGGTGTACAAGTGAATGTTCTTCCTATTTTGAAGCACAAAGTGAGGATATGCCTACACAGGAAGCAGATTACAATGTTTCATTGTTAAAGATGGTATGTTCCTTTTCAGAAGGGAGAATGGTAAAAAATAGTTGTTGCAGTTGTTATTTTTATTTTTTTGGAAGGAGGGGCATAAATGTGTTAAAAAGGCAGATCCACAAGTAAAAACTATGGTCATGAATTTCAAAAAGTGATTGCAAATCATTCTTATATCATAGTATCCTTCACAGAGCCATGACTCATGGTTTGTAAATCATAGTTATATATATATAGTCTAGGCTTTGGTGGTTTGTTTCACAAATCATGGTTAAAACAATCCATAGTTTAGTATATGTGATTTATCATGAATGTCTAAATCCACACAAATGATGATTGAGTTTAACCATGGTATAGGGAAACAGTGTAATTTCAAGGCATGGTCTCTTTCTGTAAGAGTCTGAAGACTTGTACCAGGCTTGGGGTTTCCATGGGGGAATACCAAATTGGAGGTGGCTACTAGACTAATTGCAGACCCCACCTTCCTCCCTGGGCTTCCTACTCCCTCTCTGTCCTGACCAAGGCTTCCGAGACCGTAATTATTCACATGCTTCTTTTAAAAACAAGTCTTGTTTTATTGCAATGCTGGGAATTATTTTCATTCCCAGCTGGCAATGACTTCTCAAACAGTCCCTCAAGATAAGCACCCGCCTTTCTTTTCTGTGAAGTGCTGCCAATAACAGAAGTGTCCAATGAACTAGAAATAAACCAACCGAAGCACAAAGAGCTTCACAAATGAATCTGAACTGAATGAACGACTTTGCTTCCTGCAAAGATTTTGTCACCTTTGCCTGTCCTTTATACCTTATGAGAGGGGCAATCACCTCCCAGCCTTACTCCTTAGTCGCCCCTTTTGTCTCCGCTGCTCTCAACTTCTAGCAGCTCTGTGCACACGCGCACTGGGAACAGGCTCCCCTGGGTCCTCTGCCTCACTGCTGCCAGACTCCGAAGGCTCTGGACGCAGCACCCCACTCCCAGATGGTCCTGGCCCCACCTCTGCATCGGATGCAGGATCCTCGTCCAAGTCCTCTCCAAACTCCCAGACTGATCCCCTTTCTTCCCCACTGTCCAATTCCGCTGCCATTTGCACAGGCTACCAGCAAACCACAACGCTCTCTTCCCACCTTTTAATTCATTTTGCTGTATAGATATTTCTCAACTTACGATTACAATTGAGCCTAAAACGTATGTTGCTAAGTGAGAAATTTTTTCAAGTGAGTTTTGCCCCGTTTTAACAACTTTTCTTGCCACAATTGTTAAGTGAATCACTGCAGTTCTTATATTAGTAACATGGTTATTGAGTGAATCTGGTTTCCCTGTTGACTTTGCTTGGCAGAAGGTCGCACCAGGGGATCCTATGACCCTGGGTTACTACAACCCTCATAAACGTGAGTCAGTTGTCAAGCAGCCGAATGTAAATCACGTGACCGTGGGGATGCTGTGACGGTCATAAGTGTGAAAAATGGTCATAAGTCACTTTGTTCATGCCATTGTAACTTTGAACGGTCACTAAATGAACTGTTGTAAGTCAAGGACTCCCTGGGTTCTCATTATTTTTTATTGTTTCATTGTTCCTATTTTTACATTTGTTTATAATTTTACATTCTACTGTTGTAAGCCCCCCAGAATAGCCCCCCCCCCATGGCAAGATGTGCAGCAAATAAATTTAATAAATAAATATTAAATAAATAAATCATTTCTGATCCAGGTTACCATCTGTCTGGGTCTCAAACTTTCAACAAAACTGCAGACTATCAGCCACCTTAAACCACCATTCTGAGATTACACTAAACAAGAAGTCACTGTTAGCTGAAAATAGAAGCAAAAGTATGCCAGAGGACAAGAAGAGTGCATTCTGTCCTCAGGCAGGCTGTGACTAAATATAGATTTTTATGGCTTTAAGATTGAGCCAGCTCTTTTGTCTTTATTTCATTTACCGTTAATCATGATGAAGGTTCATAGCATACCAAAAATCTTCTGCACTTGTCTGTGATATTTGGATTGATCTTAATAAAGTAATAAATTATTGCTGATGCACATGGGTTATTGCTGATCCATGCTGGATGTTTGAGAAAGTCAAATACCAAAAATAAATGACTGTGCTTCATTGATTATACAAAGGCCTTCAATTGTACCAACCATGTCAGGTTCTAGAATATGCTTTTAAAAAATAACAATTCCAGAACAGCTTATTTTTCTCATGAGAAACTTTCATGCAGGTCAGGAAGCCACAGTCTGGATAGAACGTGGCTTCAGGTTGGCAAAAAAGTGCAACAAGATTATATTTTCCCCTTACTTACTCAACCTATATGATAAATATATATCAAAAGAAGCTGGATTGGAAAAAGATGAGTGTGGTTTTAAAGCTGGAGGAAGAAATATCAATAGCTTAGCTGTCAATGACACTACCTGATAGCTAAAAACGAAAAGAATCTGCAATATAAATCAAGGAGCATATGAAAAAAAAAGTGATTAAAATTAAATGCAATGAAGACCAAACTAATTATTATTATTAATATCATAAAATTTATTTGCTGCCCATCTCACTACTCAAGGTGACTATGTGTAGCTAATGACAGCAGGTACAACAACCAGCCTTAAAATTGACAATGGAAGTATTGATTAATCATGACAGTAAGGAACAAGCAATCCAGAAATACGTTACACACTAGCACTTGGTAGAGCAGCCAGGAAGGCCTTGGAAATTTTGTGATGTGTCTGTATTGATAAAGATCAGTATACTGCAAGCCATGGTGTTCTCTGTGACTCTATGGGACCAAAGTTGGATAGAAGTAGGGTAAGTAAAATATTAATGCATTTGATCTTTGGTGTTGGAAAAGACTCAGTGACAGCCAAGAAAACATACAAATGGATCATTGAACAAATGAATCCAAAACTCTCACTCAAGTCACAAAGAAACAAGCTAAAATTGTCCTAATCTAGACACACTATGCAAAAACTAAGTTCTCTGTAGCATATTCTAATGTTGGAAAAGGTAGAAGGAAAAAGAAGAAAAGTATGACTAGCAACAAGTTGGATGGACTTATTTGCATCATTGGAAATGTATTGTTGGAAGGCCTAAAAGATAGGTTAGGAACAGATAGGTAGACAAAATGTATGTGGTCACTTAAGATTCAATATTAACTTGATGGCACATAATTTTAACAAAGCCTGCTGTGAATATGAAAGCTTTGTTATTGCACTTTCTTATATTTTCTTGAGGTGATTTCATCCAAGTTTACATTATTCTAATCCAACCTCAGGGATTCTTTTCTGGTATCTGTGGAAATATACATAAGGGAAAAAAAAATAGAGTTATCTGAAAATGGTAGCTGCAATAGCAACTGCGTGCGAAATGAATGCTCAGGGAGAATTTTTTTCATGGGAATAAGATTCCTCATCTAAATCAGGATATCTCTAATATGCCATAGTTTCCTTTTCATCAGAACTGAAAAACTATTTATAAAATTTTGGAAACTAATAATTTAAACCGTTAGACAAAATTGGACAAAGCCCCAAATGAAATAGCTCTAGAAAAATTAAATAACAACAAACAAAAACCTTACATGCAATTTATCATGATGAAGCATGCAGATAAAAACAAATATAGGGTTGGAATCATTCTTAGAAGCAGCAGAAATAGAATATAAGCTGAAACTTCCTAAGGACCTGTACTTTTCAAGCAAGAATCAAGTACAGGAATGAATCTGCTGGAAACAGTTCAATTTTCATACAAACCTTCTCATTTATTATGTAGAGGAGAGCAGGGAAGTGAAGCTTTTATTTTATTTCGATAGAGAATAGGGTAAAATAATTTGTATTAGCCTAAAGTTCAGCACTACTTCTATTATTTTCTCAGCTGCTAGCATTATTACCTACTGTTCCCACAAGATGACTGGTTGGTATAATTCTTTAAAGAAATTAGCAGCAGAAGGAGCATTGGACTGCTGTATCACATACTGAGACCTTTAGAAAGCACATGAGATTTTGGAGTGTCTGAATTTGGGGATATAATTATTTGGCCATTTTAAATTCTCAAAGCCCTCTAATGCAGGCTAGAAGAGCATTCACCCCACCTTGTGCACATATTCTGAAAAAATCATGTTTTATTTAATTATGAGAACATTTAAAAAAGATTGTGTTTTCTTTATTGAAAGTAATCAGCAGGATTTATTTAAGTTTGAATTGGATGGGAAAAACCCTACTTTCTAAATTTCTGTTGTTTGATTTCAGAATGGCATTAAAAGAGACTCTGTTTGTACAACTCTTTCAGGTATGAGTCAGAATAATTTTATTCCTTTAGATAGTAAGCTGTATTTTTGAGAGTATGTTTAAGAAATTCTTTTTAAAAAAACTGCAACAGCTAGTTTATTTGAGATTACTTCAATGACAGGTAAGGAAAATTGCAATTAATACTGCTGTATCAGAAGTGCTGAAGTCAGAGATGGTATTCAGCAGGCTCTGACCAGTTCTGGAGAACCAGTAGCGGAAATTTTGAGTAGTTCAGAGAACCGGCAAATACCACCTCTGACTGGAGATTTTACAGCATCCTTCCCCTGCCACGCCCACCAAGCCACGCCCACAGAACTGGTAGTAAAAAAAAAATTGAATCCCACCACTGGCTGAAGTACTTGAAAGGTGGGCATAGATACATTAATAAATCTAATGATATGACATGACAATTATGTTCAAAGAAAGAAGAGCATGAATATTGTTTGTTGAATGATGTTCTGCTTCAGAAAAAAACCTCCACATTCTTCCCCTTCAGGAAGCAAAGGAATAATTTCCACAAGGTCTACATCAGTTCCAAAGGGAAACATTTGAAGAATTTATTTCATAACACACATCTTAACCTTGATCTTGAAATGCTACGCATGGTTGAAATTGATTAAATGGAAAATCACTATGAAATCCTAGGAAACTGAGAAGTTGAAAAAATATCTGGAAAGAAACAATGGCATATTGTTTTCATGTTGTTGCCATCATGTTGTTGACTTCATAGGGTCAACAGGATTAAGTTTGAAGTGTTTCCATGAAGTCAACAGGATTAAATTTGTCTTGATAGAAACTTGATTATTTATGTAATAACACTCTTGATGGATTTTATTTCAATAAAATTTAAGTGAATAGTGGAAATAGAATATGCTAATACATCTCATGATAGAACACAGGAAACAAGTTATGTTCAAGGGAAGAAAAATATGAATACTGTTTGGTTGATGACTTATCTTCTGTTTTAGAAGCAAAGCTTCCAGATTCTCCCTCAAGCAAAGGGGCAATATCCAATATATTATCATTTGGAAAACATAATTATCATTCTATACCCATACTTGCCTCAGCACATGAAGATGGTTTCATTTATCTGTGGAGCATTATGGTAAGTTGTTTTATGGAACTGGACTGAAGTAGTGAAGAAGAGTTTCAGTTACGTTTTCATCCAGTCAAGGGACTTTTCTACATCTTCCATGTTTTCCCGTTTTTCTATTGTCTCCCAAACACATCAAACTGTACACACTTTTTTCTATGCCACTGGTGGTTCATTTGACTTTAGCTTAATGTATTGTTGCCCTGTCTCAGGCCACATACTTGGGAGGTGGTTCCAAATGTAACAGAGAAGTCTGTGAAACAAATGAACAAGTAGCAAAGGAAATGTCAGTGCAAACACATATATACGCACTAGAGAAATCAAATCCTCAAATATCTAGCAAGATTGCCTTAAGATAACTACGAATCTGAAACAGTGGACCCATCACTTGAGTGGTCAAGTGAAGTCAAGGCATACGAAGTCTGGGTAACCAGACAGCTGTTGCCAATAAGGAGGCTTCATCTGGCTTCTCTTCTTTCATTGAAGCAAGCCCAGCATTGCTCACTTGAGTCTGTCTCCTTTCTTGTGAGTGGCCTTACAGAGTGCCTTTGCTCTCCTATTTACATGGTGAACCCTTGCACTGGGAGCAAATACTTGTAGCAGCTCAGATTCCTCATCTTCAGAGATAGATGACAGCTGCCTCCTGGTTCTCCGGCAGCAACATAGGAATTGAGTGCTCATTGTTGGCATCCTCACCAGAGTCTGAGCTGGCAATGACATGTATGAACCCAGTGTTTTTGTTTGTGAACAGTAGTTTATGTCTAATGTGCAAATCAGGCCCTTATACTTGAACAACAAACATTGTTTTAAAAAGCCTTAGCTTGGTGTGATGCATGAGCCCAGTGCAGTACACTGAGTACAGTATAATTTACTTAGAAAGAAGTAGGCATATGGTTCTGCTTAATTTAATGGCTAAAACGGAAGATTTGGAAAAAGGGTTAGATAAGAGAATGGGTATGACTCATGCAATCCCAAAGGCCTAACTGCAGAAAATTCTGATTTGTGAAAGGGTGATTGTATTTCTGTTTTTGTAAAGGGAGATCTACTGAAAGAAATTCTGCCATACACAAAACATCCTCCAATTCCTTTGACAGCACTTTGTGCCGATGGGGCTGCCAAAATGCTTTATGCTGCTAATAAAGGTAAGCTTTATTGCTCAGTATGATTGCCATACAGTATAGATGGGTTAAATAAATAAAATAAATAAGTACTTTTCCAGGCCTTTGAATGATGCTATTATATCAGTTATATCTTAATGTACAATTGAATGGTTTTTTTTCCTAAATGTAATTCACACTGAATTGTTAAAACAGTAGGTATATAGACTTTCTAAATCAACCAATCATGTGTGTAAAAATATAATATAACTAACTGTATGCAAAAGATTAAGCTGGTGGGGCAAGAATCATACCCTCTCAGAGAACCTTTGTATAAACACCATGCCATTGTCTCACAGTTTTAAGGCTGAGAAGAGAAGAACCAAATTTCAATTGACTCATAAGGACAGGAGAGAAAGGACTAGAATTTAAACCAGTGGTGGGATTCCTTTTTTTTTACTACCGGTTATGTGGACGTGGCTTGGTGGGCGTGACATGGCGTGGCTTGGTAGGCGTGGCAGGGGAAGGATACTGTAAAATCTCCATTCCCACCCCACTGCAGGGGGAAGGTTACTGCAAAATCCCATTCCCTCCCCACCCCATCCCTTTCCAGCTCCGTTCTCCTGTGCAGGGCAACAAAAGAAGACCCAGCTGGGACTCGGGAGGCAGAGAATAGATAGGGGCGGGACCAGTCAGAGGTGACATTTGCCGGTTCTCCAAACTACTCAAAATTTCCACTACCAGTTCTTCAGAACTGGTCAGAACCTGCTGAATACTACCTCTGATTTAAACCCTGAAATAGATTTTGGGCTCTGCAGGAAGCAGACTTTCTGCATCTGTGTGACTTCTTTCTTACGTTCAGTAAAGCAACTTATCCAGACATATGGAGTCTACGAACGTCTGATCTAAGCAAATTTCTCAAAACAAAGTGGGAAAATGAGATGTATTGCCATGATACACACAGCATTACACTGTGTAAGATAATAGCAAGATTCCAGTTGATGGCAGTTGAATCTGTTTTTCATAGTAATTAAATAAGATTTTGGTAAAATGAAAATGTGTTTATAGTCTTAAACACTATTTTAAATTAGAAAAATGGGTTTCTGTAATATAAAAATAATTCATATTAAACTATCTTCTTTAGTCAAAACAAAATAGTCATCAAGAGACCCTGTTTGAATTGTAAAATATCATTGTTCACTTGATACCTATTCTGCTGCTTCTTAATTTACAGGATTGTCTTAGGGACAGCCCTTGGCCAATTCTGTATTATGAAAAAGTTCTAATTTTTTTTAATAGATGATTTGTTTTACAGAGGGAAATGTTATTCGATGGAATATTGGCTCATTCCTAGAAGATCAAAAAGATCCAAACAGGGTGAGCAAAATGCAAAATAATGTCTCCCATCCTCCAGTTCATTTACATGGATTCACACATAGTCCATGTTCTTTGCTTATGTACATTACATATAGAATTAATTTAAACACTGAAAGTAAACGAAACATAAGAATTGTTAATGATTTGTATAATTCAAGAAACATCTATAGGAATGAGAATGGTTTTCAACGTGGCTTACTTGCAGAATTTTTATTTCTCAAAACTGCTAAATTCACATTTGAAGTTACTAAAATGTTTAAAAATCTGGTATATATAGATTAAAATTGAATTATTAATTTGGTTTAGTATACTAATAATCGAAGAATTATTAAAAATTAAATACTGGCATGAAATGATTATGTGATTGTCACAAGATCAATCACAGGCTTTTACATATCAACATTTTAATGAATTGAATGAAGAGATGAATGTTTAGTTCAAATAATTCAAAAGACTGCCAAGAAGAAGGCAGAAATAAAATGTAAAGAAATATTAATAAATGAAAGAAATAGGCACAAAGCAACAAAGTTTAACAAAAGCAAATGCAAACAGGTTGTCCTCGGTTAAAAATGGCATTTAGGAAAGTTTGATGTCATGTGACTGCATCACTTAGCATGGTTATCTGAGTTTTCAGTTTTTATATCAAATTAACAATTTGAATGTGCTTAAGTTCTCATATAAAACCTAGGATTTGAGTCTCTATACCTTTTTTCATAACCTGTCAACTGCGTGAACAGTTTCATTTACCCATCAATAGTCCCCAGACTATCTGGCATTGTCTCACATATATATACAATTAAGACATATGTGGACGTATTTTGTCCACTTTTGGCTTGGCATGATGTAAAAATCACCTACTGAGACTTAGTTGTGTCTGAATCTGACCACCATGCCTTGTTCAAGTGTTAAGAATTCTGACTTAATTATGCATATGAAGACAGCTAATGTTAACTTATATTTTTTGCAGCATGTAAAGCAACAAATTTGTTGGCGGGCTCATTCTGCTAAAATAGTCAGCCTGTTTTGTGATGATGAAAAATGCCTAGTGGTGACTGCATCCACAGATGGTTCTGTCAGGTTAGTTATATTTAGCTGTTGCCGTTGATTTGAAAGTTTTTTGACTGAGGTTCTCAATCCCAGCATTAACCAGCCTAGACAGTTCTTTACTAAGTGCCCATTAACTCTGGAGTTGATCATGCATCCTATTAATGGGGCTTGGGACCCTGGGAATTTGGCCATGCTGACCTCTCCTGATGGCAACTTAGCCACTACCGTATACACAGGTGTGTGTGTGTATATATATGTATATATATATAAATGTGTGTGTGTGTGTGTGTGTGTGTGTGTGTGTGTGTGTGTGTGTGTATGTATATATATATATATTCTTAAGTTTTTGCGGGTACTTACATGTATGGTATTCAGCTTTGTTCGGTTATTTTCCCACGTCATTATAGTTGTGCTTTTAAAGTTGTAGCAACGTTTCGGCAAAATCTCATCTGCCATCATCAGGCTTCTGTATTGTGTTCATCTGTGAGTCAGACTTTTACAGTTGTTTCAGTTTTAAATTTGGGGCTAGCCCACTGCTGTGCCAGAATGGTTTTTTTCTTCATCCTGATTGGTTGGGAGTCTTGGTCTGTGTTTATTGGTCTTGGAGTTTGCTGTGTTCTGCTTGATTGGTGTTTCTAATATCTTCTGTCTGTTTTGTGGCTTTTTTTTGTCTTGGTTGGCTGGCAACATTGTGTTCCT